CTCAATGACCCATACGAAATCCGAAGAATGCATCTCATCACAGATTGAGTGGAGTATCTTAAGGATCCAGACAAGTTCGTTATCATCTTTATCCTTGTTTGGTTCAATAGCAATGGGCTTTAGCTTGATTGACTAAGTTCATTGTCATCAAGACGCAAAAGTTACCTTATTTGGTTTAAGGAAGTTGAATCACTACGTTCCGACAACCAGATTCGTGGTGTCTTCAAATCAGACAGAGTGAACGATCAATCAATAAAAATTTTGAGATCCAAAGTATTCTGAAAATTCGTCTCAATCAACCGCGAACTTTCAAAAACTTTCGAGGGGATTCTGTAGGTTATCTAAAAATCACAACAGATAGCTAATCTCGATCAAACACCGATGATGGAAGTTATAATTCGACGGCTTTCAAAAGACTATAATTTGAAGACTTTCACGTAGATCGATGAATGTTACAATCTGACAACCTTCACAATAACTGATGAAAACTCTAAGCAATAGTCTTCATAATCAACTGTGAGAGTTACAATCTGACGACTTTCACACCCCAAAACAACCAAGGCAAAGATCACTGAACAATGATCTTTTGCAATGTTTTACAGAAGAGGTTACAGATCACTAGCCCCTTCTAAACGCAGAGTTTACCTGTGTGTGTCAGTTTTTGATAAACAGGCAACCCGTGTGTTTTCCACCTTCAATCAAACAAAATGTAAAATGGCTCGTGTGTTTCCGGCCCGTGCATTTCTGGCGCGTGCATTTCCCATCTTCAGCAGATACCTAACTCTGCATTTCAAGTCTAAGACGTAGAGTTAAGACCCAGAACGCAAGTGGTCTGTGCGTTTCAATCATCCGCAGATACCCAACTCTGCGTCCCAAGTCTGAGGCGCAGAGTTAAGACCCAAAACACAAGCGGCACTTGCGTTTTTAATTCTTAGCAAGCACCCAACTCTGCATCTCAAGTCTAAGACACAGAGTTAAAGCATGTAACGCTGATTTAGGCATTTGACTTGTTCGAACACAAGCTGAACGGCCTTGAAACCATTTACCCCACATTTTGAGGGATTTTCGCCTACTTAGGAGCGGATTTAGGGGTTGGTTACACCCCTTGCCCCCCTATAAATAACCATCTTACTCAACCGAGTAAGGGAGGTGGGATTTTCTGGGGATTCTTAAAGATCAAGGGCGGATTCTCTTGGAGATTGGAGTTTTCGGCTAGATTTTGAAGATCAAATCATCTACAAGGATCAAGGGCGGATTCTCTTGGAGATTGGAGTTTTCGGCTAGATTTTGAAGATCAAATCATCTACAAGATTAGTTAGAGAGAGTTATTGGCAGCGAGAAGATCAAGTCTTGGAGGATCATTCAGCAACAGAAAACCTACTTGGTTATTAACCGATTGTTCGATTTCAACAACTCTTTTCACAGAGTTTTCAACTCGCTCTGAGGTACAAAACTCGTTAAGAGTTCTTAATTAAACTTGCAACACAAGTTAATTGTTCCAACAAGATAAGACATGTGGATCATCAACGGAGAGCAAATTTGACACGAGTATTCGAAGAAAGCACTCCATCGCTACTGTGAAGAACCCAGAATTAAACAAAGGGGGGAATTCAGATTAATTCTCCTCTCTTTTGTAATCGAGAATTCAAATTATAATTAAGATCGAGAGAATACAAATTAAATTTCTTTTATTTTATTTACTAATCAATTTTCCACCAAACAATGTCGTATTTCTCATTGCAACTTCCAAAAGAGTCAACAGATGGAATTATGCACTTTAAAAAAGAATGAAATTCGCAAATTTCAAAAAAAGGGAGAAAAAAATAATCCAGTCCTTTATTTGCTCTTCAGTAAGAACTCAGATAACTGTTCTTGTTGCTGCTATGCTGATTCATCGCAGAGAACTCGAAAAAATCAAAAAAACCCAAAAAACGGAGAGAAGAATAGAAGAAGATAGGATTAGGGTTAAAATTAGGATTTTCGATAAAAGAATAAAAATTTAAAGAGCTATTACAATGTATTGACGCTTGCCCTTGCCGCTTAATCCTCGTTGTCGCCGCCTCTCAGTTGCCGGAGTGTCGTCGCCGCCTCTCAGTCGCCGGAGTGTAGTCGCCGCAAAGCCCTAGGTGGGAGACGGATTTGAAGATGGATGTTCTGAATTGAGATACGTAGAGAAAAGAGGGGATCTCGAGAGGAGAAGTTGTTTAGAGAGAAAATGGGTGGTTATTAGACAGCGGTTCTAAAAAGAATGGCGAGTTTTCTAAAAAGCAGCGTCAGGGGAGACCGGAGTTAGAGGTTGGTTTAGAGTTGGTTATTTTTATAGAAGAAGTGGGAGTATTTTTTAGTTATTTCGAAAAAAATTGGAAATAAAGTTGGTTAAGAACTGAATTTTCTGAAACGTGGTTTGGTTATTCATTTTATTTTTTTATTGTTAACAACCTTAGATTACTGTTCATTATAGATTTTTTGTTGTTTATCTACAGAAAGCGATAGCCAAACAACCAAATGAACCCCAAATAAGAATCAAATTATTTTGTTTTTATTTTAGAAATTAAGCAGTTCTAGTTTAAGGTAGCAAAGAAAACATGTTGTATTTCTCATTGCAACTTCCAAAAGAGTCAACAGATGGAATTATGCACTTTAAAAAAGAATGAAATTCACAAATTTCAAAAAAAGGGAGAAAAAAATAATCCAGTCCCTTATTTTCTCTTCAGTAAGAACTCAGATTCTCTTGGAGATTGGAGTTTTCGGCTAGATTTTGAAGATCAAATCATCTACAAGATTAGTTAGAGAGAGTTATTGGCAGCGAGAAGATCAAGTCTTGGAGGATCATTCAGCAACAGAAAACCTACTTGGTTATTAACTGATTGTTCGGTTTCAACAACTCTTTTCACAGAGTTTTCAACTCGCTCTGAGGTACAAAACTCGTTAAGAGTTCTTAATTAAACTTGCAACACAAGTTAATTGTTCCAACAAGATAAGACATGTGGATCATCAACGGAGAGCAAATTTGACACGAGTATTCGAAGAAAGCACTCCATCGCTACTGTGAAGAACCCAGAATTAAACAAAGGGGGGAATTCAGATTAATTCTCCTCTCTTTTGTAATCGAGAATTCAAATTATAATTAAGATCGAGAGAATACAAATTAAATTTCTTTTATTTTATTTACTAATCAATTTTCCACCAAACAATGTCGTATTTCTCATTGCAACTTCCAAAAGAGTCAACAGATGGAATTATGCACTTTAAAAAAGAATGAAATTCGCAAATTTCAAAAAAAGGGAGAAAAAAATAATCCAGTCCTTTATTTGCTCTTCAGTAAGAACTCAGATAACTGTTCTTGTTGCTGCTATGCTGATTCATCGCAGAGAACTCGAAAAAATCAAAAAAACCCAAAAAACGGAGAGAAGAATAGAAGAAGATAGGATTAGGGTTAAAATTAGGATTTTCGATAAAAGAATAAAAATTTAAAGAGCTATTACAATGTATTGACGCTTGCCCTTGCCGCTTAATCCTCGTTGTCGCCGCCTCTCAGTTGCCGGAGTGTCGTCGCCGCCTCTCAGTCGCCGGAGTGTAGTCGCCGCAAAGCCCTAGGTGGGAGACGGATTTGAAGATGGATGTTCTGAATTGAGATACGTAGAGAAAAGAGGGGATCTCGAGAGGAGAAGTTGTTTAGAGAGAAAATGGGTGGTTATTAGACAGCGGTTCTAAAAAGAATGGCGAGTTTTCTAAAAAGCAGCGTCAGGGGAGACCGGAGTTAGAGGTTGGTTTAGAGTTGGTTATTTTTATAGAAGAAGTGGGAGTATTTTTTAGTTATTTCGAAAAAAATTGGAAATAAAGTTGGTTAAGAACTGAATTTTCTGAAACGTGGTTTGGTTATTCATTTTATTTTTTTATTGTTAACAACCTTAGATTACTGTTCATTATAGATTTTTTGTTGTTTATCTACAGAAAGCGATAGCCAAACAACCAAATGAACCCCAAATAAGAATCAAATTATTTTGTTTTTATTTTAGAAATTAAGCAGTTCTAGTTTAAGGTAGCAAAGAAAACATGTTGTATTTCTCATTGCAACTTCCAAAAGAGTCAACAGATGGAATTATGCACTTTAAAAAAGAATGAAATTCACAAATTTCAAAAAAAGGGAGAAAAAAATAATCCAGTCCCTTATTTTCTCTTCAGTAAGAACTCAGATAATTGTTCTTGTTGCTGCTATGCTGATTCATCGCAGAGAACTCGAAAAAAATCAAAAAAAACCCAAAAAATGGAGAGCAGAATAGAAGAAGAAAGGAGTAGGCTTAAAATTAGGATTTTTGATAAAAGAATGAAAATTTAAAGAGCTATTACAATTGATTGTCGCTTGTCCTTGCCACTTAATCCTCGTCGTCGCCACAAAGCCCTAGGTGGGAGACAGATTTGAAGATGGAGGTTCTGAATTGAGATACGTAGAGAAAAGAGGGGATCTCGAGAGGAGAGGTTGTTTAGAGAGAAAAATGGGTGGTTATTAGACAGCGGTTCTAAAAAGAATGGCGAGTTTTCTAAAAAGCAACGGCAACGGGAGACTGGAGTTAGAGGTTGGTTTAGAGTTGGTTATTTTTTCAGAAGAAATGAGTGTATTTTTCAGTTATTTCAGAAAAAAAATTGGAAATAAAGTTGGTTGAGAACTGAATTTTCTGAAACGTGGTTTGGTTATTCATTTTATTTTATTTTTTTCATTGTTAACAACCTTAGGTTACTGTTCATTTTAGATTTTTTGTTGTTCTCTTTTAATAATAAAGAAGTAGATAGGTTACTATTTATTTTAGATTTTTCTGTTGTTCTATTTTAGTAATAAAGAAGTAGATTTGAGGGACTACTACAGAATTATTGATTATTGATTATATGAATATCTAAATTAACCCTCAACAACTGGCGTTCCAATTTTGAACCGACAAAAACGTCTCGCTTTTCCCGCTATTCGCTCGAGTTGCAGAAGACAGGAATCCTCGAGAATACAACACGCGAACCTTTCTTCGCGTCATCTAAACGCCACCACAAACCCGAATCGAATCGAATCGAATCAGATTCAAATACCCTTTCCGTCTATTCCAAAAATTCCTCTCTGGCATCCCGAATCCCTCGCAAAACCACCAACTAAACCGGAAAATTCATCCCAAATCCCTTCAATCCACAGCAATGGAATCCAAGAAGCAACAGCAAGCAGCCCATGGCGTCCCCATCGACCGTGCATACCCCAACCCCAACCCTAACCCTAATCTGCACGTTCACTATTCCGGCATCTCATCGACCGGCGGCAATGTCAACCCTTACGTCCAGGTCGCCCCTGTGCCCGCATCCAAAGAAAAGAGTAAGTTTGATTGATTGATTTGTGTGGTTAATCTTGTGTTGGATTTTGTTTTGGTCTCAATTTTCGTTTTTTGTTTTTTTTTTTGTTTTTTTTTATTAAGATTCGATGGGTACGTTCTTGAAATTGCTCGGGCGGTGTGGAAAGAAGTTGGAGGAGGAGACGAGGAAGGCGACGGAGACTACTGGAAACGTCTGGAATCATCGTATGTTGCTAATTTTACTACTTATTTGTGTGTATTTGTGAAATTTTGTTTATTTAGTTGCTAAGTCAATGGTGCTGGGTTGGGGTTCTTCTTGAGGGATGGAAATTTTGACATTTGGTTACGTCTTTGGTGTAACTTTGGTTCTAGTTATCGTAAGGTATCAAAATAGTGCAGTCTCCTGTTAACTGAATAACTAAGGATCGTTCTTGGTTCTGCCTGTACTTGATGATGATAACGATGGTATTGAGGTTTGAACATTGAAATTTTACTTCTTATTTGAAGTTATTTTGAGAAATTCTGCTAATTGAGATGCTAAGAATGATTATTTAATGGTTTTTCTATGATTTTTTTTTTTTCGTCGTGCTGGGTTGGGTCTTTTTTGAAGATTTGAAATTTGATGTGTAGCTTACATATTTGGTGTCATGTTGGTTCTAGTCATTGTAAATGACCAAAATATTTGCAATTTCATGTTAACTGAATGACTAAGGATCCCCCTTGGTTCTGCTTTTGCTTAATGATTTGAAATTTGATTCTTAGATTAAAAAATGGGCATAGTTATTACTTTATGCAATGTAATACTTGGTCTTTCTGTTGTTTATCATCATACAAGTATCTCTTGATGGTTTAATATGTATAGCCCATCCATATTGTGGTTTTTCTGTTGTAAGTACACTTTTCTGTAACTGTGATGATAAATACTATAGAAATATTTCTCTTTTTCTTTGGGTCAAGATCTTTGGATCAAGATCTTTTGATCAATAAAAGCTCACATTTCTGGTCCTACAACTAATTGAAGAATATAATTGCAGTGCGCCAATTGTTGAAATTCTTATGGAATATTTTCTTGTAGTAGATTGATAGAAGGGAACTTAAAAGAATAGGATGCCGACTTATTCCTATTTGTAAAGTTTTTGTTCACATAAAAAGAGTTTCATTTTCTATGTTGTTAATTTTAAGTTATTTTCTGGCAAATAGTTAAAACCAGTCCCAATGTGTGTGATGCGGCAATGGCTAGGATCGCGCATGAAACAAAAGCGTTTGCAGAGGGAGGAAATGACAAGATTTTTCAGCAGACCTTTGGTGTTCTTCCAGCAGAACAACTTCGAAAGACATTCGCTTGTTACATTTCTACCTCATCTGGTCCTGTGATTGGGACGCTTTATGTGTCAACAAGACGGTTAGCCTTTTGCAGTGACAACCATGTATGCCACTACTCTGCCAATGGTCAACCGGAATGGGTATATTACAAGGTGAACTTGCTAGCTTTATTTGATTTTTATAATTTTGCAAGCCCAGAACGCTTTCTATATATTTTGTACTATTCGTGCTTCCATTTTTTTGTGTTTTATGAAATCTACATCAGATAGTAAAATAATTTATTTGACATCTATAATTCTTTTGAGATACATTGATATTTTACAGTGCATTGCAATGGTGTCAGTGAAATTTAAACTATTACTCAGATTATAGTTGGATAGTAATGGATAATAGTGATTATAGAGAATTTTTTTGCCAATAAATTTTTTTTGTGGTGCTTAGATAATGTTTAACTATTATGCGTTGTTTAGATACTCTCTTTTTCCAAGATCAACATGTTGTCTGAAACTTTTCTTGAAGGTCTATGACACGAAACTACTCTAGATCTGTGAAAAGAGTTTTTCCTAGTACTCTCCTAGAACTAATGTAGTTGAAAACACTCTAAACAACCAGAACTTTACTTGACTTCAGGTAGGGGATTGTTAGGTTGTCGAACCCTCAATGCAATTGGACGGCTTCGTCTTTGGGTTTATAGGATAAACACATTCTTTGCATATCAAGCTAGCTTGCTCATAAGCAGAAGGTTACTGTTATCTGATCTTGGTATTGATTTGGAGGGAGCAATCTTCTGTCTTTGAACATGTCGATCTTGTCTCCTATTCTTTCCTTGTATTGCATGGAAGCGGGACAGCTACAGGTCAATATCTGGCACCTCTGGCCCCATCAATGTGCACTTTCAAGTGCTCTATTGTTTCTCTTAACAATATCTGAAGAAAATCCTGCCATAAAGGAAAATGAGCAGTGGTGCGTAGGTCCCTGTAGTTGAATACATATCAACAAGATAGTGGAATTACCTAAGAGAGCGAAGGAATCCATTTCTTATCTCATCTCTTGACTATGGTTCCAGGCTTCCAGCCGTGATTGTGATGCCGTGAATGCCACCCTTCAATGAATTCTTTAGTAATCAGAACTCTTAGCTTTCAAGCTACATGGTTGTTACTAGCATTTGAAAAAGCATTTTGAAACTCATACTAGCTTCAAAGCTTTTTGAAGGATAATAGCTTCATAACCTAAAAGAGAAATTATGTATCCCTTGAAACATATGTCCCATCACTCAAAGTGACGATGGAACACGGAGATGAAAGGGAAGAACATAAGTGGAATAAGGATAAAGCAAATCTTAAAGAAATCTGCCTAAGAAGAGAGAACAATACAGAAGGAAAACTTACTTCACAAAAGATAATTTTTTGAGTCAACTTCCATTATCTCCCAGTTCAAAATAAAATAGTTACCTATAGATGGCTACTAAGAGCTAGCACAACTCTGAGCATTGATTGCTCTCAGTAATTTACAAGTAGGGGTGCAAAACCATATCCGTATCCACAAATATATATTTGTGACCGTATCCGTTAGATAAGAATATGGTTACTCAAATCTATAAATGGTAGGATATGATAAGAATATGGTTATGCGGTGAAATATTCGGATCCGTGTTCGAAATATTGAATATATGTTGATCATGCAGTTGCAACTGTTTAATCCTTAGATTAATGAATTGAGACTAATTTTGATGAGCAAGAGATCCAATCTTAGCTATTCAGATAAAACAAACTTATTAATGAACTTTCTTGTATCATACGAATTGTATACACACACACATATATGTATATATTATTTTGTTTTCTCATTTACATTTTGTATCCGCATGCATATTCACGTGTAATCTGTATCCTTATCCGATTTTAGCAGATATGGATTTGAGTTTTCCTTACCGAGACATATCTGTATCTGTATCCGTGATTGATATAGTAAATATCATGTCCGAGCCGTATCCTGACCGTTTGCACCTTAGTTACAAGGCACCTAAAGTAAGAGTCATTAATAGCTAGGCTGAGTTGTCAAATTTGCACATCCTTTAACTTGCACAGGAATAGTGATCTCAAAAATCTGAGAAAACCTGATTGAATTATATATCCTAGGAAAGCTAATTGAGTGTACTTTTCAAAATTTCAAGAATTAGCTGATTTGGAATTCCCTAGAGAATGTTATTGATTGGGCAAACTAGAGGTAGCAAACAGATTGGTGGGCAACGAGGTGTCGTTCCCCTCTGGTTGAACAGAACTCATCCTCAAGTTCAAGTCATCTTCTTCGTCATAGTATGCAGACAAGTTAGCCACATTGAATGCTGCCGAGATGTCATAATCTCTTGGAAGTTTGATCTTATAAGCATTAGTGCTTATGTGACAGAGGGCTTTGAAAGGACCATCCACGCTTGGCTTCAGTTTGCCATGGTGATCTTGTGGGAATCGCTTTTGTGAAGATGAACCCAAACCAAGTTACCTTTAAACATTGGCTTTGTATGCTTATTGGCAACAGCTCTATACTTCTGATTTTGTTTGATGATCCTATCATTTACTTGCTCATGAATCTTTTAGATGTTCTTTGCTTGCTTGTCGGTGTCTCCACTGTAGTGATAAGTTGTAGGAAGATAGCAAAATACTAATTGGACCCATAGACTACTTCATAGGTGCTTCTACTGTTTCTTTGACTATATAAGCAATTGTAGGCAAAATCGGCTTGATGCAAAGAAAAATCTCACTGGCGAACGTTCTTGCCAACTAAGCTCTCAAGATATTACTCTATTGACAATCTCCATTTGGTCATCTGTTCGAGGGTGATAAGATGAACTAAATTGAAGAGACGTGCGAAGGCTTTCTCCAAAGAATGCACCAACTATGTTTAACTAAATTAGGATCCCGATCCGGGTTGATTGTTTTAGGAACACCGAACACCATGTAGTTTGACAATTTCTGACAATTTCATTGAAGTAGAGGTCTACAACATGAGAAGCATCCAATCTCTCATTGCATGGCACAAAATGAGCCATCTTAGAGGAGCAATCTACGATCAGCATCATGATGAATCTTTACTTTTTTGAGTCTGAGATGGGCCAAGAACAAAGTCAATTACACATCTTTCCCGGGGCGTTTGGGCAACTAGGTGTGGAGATCGGTATTTTGGGAATGAGATTTGGCGAAATGACAAAGTCCTACATCACATGATATAGTGGCTAACATTTCGAGATATGTGAGGCCAATAAAAGTGCTCTTGAAGATGAGCCAAGGTCTTATGTCTTTCAAAATGTCCACTAAGTCCACTTTCATGTGCTTCTCTGATGATTGTAGCATAGTGAAGAGAACAACTCTGGATGCGCAAACAGTTATCTTTGAATAAAAATCCATCTTGAAGCAAGAAATGTTGAGTAGAACCTTCGCAAAATTTGTTAAAATGAGGATCATCCTTGTAAAGCTCCTTGATTGTTTCAAAGCCTAAGACCTTCACTTGCATGGTGAAGAAGAGTAAGGCATGTCCTCGACTTAAAGCGTCGACCACTTGGTTCTGTATATACGCGCTTAGTGTTTCACATGGAAAATAGAAGATTGACGAAATTCAACCACTTTGCATGCCTAATATTAAGCTTTTGTTGGCCATAGATGTATTTTAAGGCCATATGATCAAGTAGAGAATGAACTCCTTTGAGATGCGATAATACTTTTAATGTCTAAAAGCTCACACAATAGCGTAAAACTCCTCGTACGTAGAATAATTCTTGCGAGAGTTATTTAACTTTTGACTAAGGAAAGCAATAAGTTACCTTCTTGGCTAAATCGTGCGCCAATGCTAGCACTAAAGGCATCACAATTAACCTCAAGCACCTTGTTGAAATTAAGAAGAGAAAGAATATAAGCTCAAAATCTTCCTCTTAATGAGATTAGAACTCTTTCGAGCCTCTATGATCAATTTGAAGTGTCCACCTTCCAAGCACTTGATGACAGGAGTCTAGAGTTTTCGCTTGATTGTACACTGTGTTTTACAAAGCTCCCACCTAGCCAAGGTGGTACTTAAGTTGTCTGCCTAGGTCTTGGGAGCACCTAGGAGAGCGGAGACTATTTACGCACATTGCATCTCGTAGGTATTGGTCGTGATTTCCTCCGCTGCTGTTTCCACGTTCTCTGACCTCCTCCGACTGCCTCCACTAACTACAAACACCTGCAACTCCACTCCTCTGACGTTCAGTAAAACCACCTCCATCACCATATAAAAAAAAAGAGATCCTCCTAGGCTAGCGCCTAAGCGCTAGACACAAGTTTGACACCTCGCAATGCTTTGAGCTTTCGATAACATTGATTGTAATTAAAAATTAAAAAAAGAGGAAAACGCATAGGGCCTAGGTGGCTAGGCTTCGTGTCGGGTCCAACACTTAGGTTGCCTAGCACTTTCTATAACTTTGTAAAGCACAATTACATTACTAAATAATGTTTAAAGAAAGAATTCCTTAAGCTTCTTCAATTTGGAAAGCAAATTCAAACTTTCGTAACTCACGAAACATCACATGATGAGTCTATGTTGCTTGAACTTCCTCTGACCAGCAGCTATTTCTATGAAACTAGGTAAATTTTATCATGCTGAAATAATGCTTTTGAAGCTAGAAGTCTTATGATATGTTTTACCTTTTAATTTTTCTAAAAATTTAATTGTTGATATATTTGAGATATTCCTTCCCTTTGAGATACTATGCATGCTTCACACAGTACATGCTAGACAAAACAACACTTGACCAATATGAACTGCAAATCTCACTTAACGATCAAAACTCATAAGCTACTCTCACATTTCTTGCAAAGAATATACACACATGGCTAGAAAATTATACAACTTCTTCAGATATACACGTTCATGAAATGAACTTATTATCAGATTGAGAGTAAAGTTAAATAAATCTTGCATTTTATATATCGCTTGGACATAGACCTAGTTTGCTATTCACAGGTCAAGTGGACATTTGAAACTGCTTTACTCTAGGTTGTGATCATAATGTATCATCTTCCGCATTTCTTTTTCCTTTCAGTTTTAAGTAGGTTTTTCATTGAATCTAGGTTTAATACTATCCACATGTCTAATTGGTGCAAATTCCATTTTAAGCCTCATCTAGAGTTTTCAGTTGTCAGAACCTATGACGCAATCATATTGTTGATCCTTTCGGAGAGATATAACTCATATTCCTTTTTTTAATAATCCTTTTATCCTAATAATTGAAATAATGTGTGCAGGTTGTGGTGCAACTTGATCAGTTGAGGGCAGTGAACCCTTCTGCCAACATAAGGAACCCAACAGATAGATACATCCAGATTATCACTGCAGATGGACATGAATTCTGGTTCATGGGATTTGTATCTTATGATAAAGCCTTTAAGAGTTTGACAGAAACTTTGCACCATTATCGTCTTTAGAACACAAGGAAAAATTGTGCCGGGGTTGCTGATATAAACTATATCAAGTGTTCATGTTGTACAATGAACTTTCAAATTTACTGCAAAAATTACTTTACACCTGAAATATCCATGATATACATATGCAAGTTTGATCCTTGTACAAACCATGATCTAAATCATAGCCTCACCACAGTGCTAGGTTGTAGAATTATATGCTGCAAATCAGTGAGGAAATAATGATTCAGAAACCTGAAGTTGTAAAATTCGCAACTGGAGCGGAAAGCGTGGTTTTTTAAATGATTACCTTGATCTGTGTTCTGTTGTAGGTGTAGGTGACATGGATGAGATCGTCTGAGCTCTGGATCACAGCTGGATATGAGAACTCCGTATCCGTGTTCTCTTCTAATGCCATCACCTCATCCCAGGAATCACCATCATCACGCGAGGAGGCCACTTTGAGCACTCCTCTGGAAACAGTGTTATATACTAGGACAAGACGCCCATCTTTCAGTTTAACTCCATCGATGCCTATAAATTACCAAGTTAGGAAAATTAATTCTCTTGGAGAGAACACAAAGAAGTGCCACATGTGGAAACTTAACAGGTATATCTACCATATTCTTTCATCTGATGAAATATATATCTTTTATCTTTTGAATTGTTCATCTTGTAAGTAGCAGATGGTCAAGTATTGCGTGTAGTATTTGTTTTGATGGTTAACTGCGGATAGACCCCATGTAGTTCTATTATTGTAGATAGACTCCCTGAGTGAATTCTTTTTGGCTTTTTTACCCTCAAGATGTCTATTTGTCCAAAGAAGAAGAAAAAACACTTCCTCTGAGGGCTAAAGAATCAAAACAGTTTTACCTCAGGGGGTCAACCATAGAACTATAGGGGTCCATCTGCAATTAACCCTTGTTTTAATTTGGATCCTCTCCTTAATCTTGGAATGCAAGGATTGAACTCAAAACATTAGGATCAAGAACCTGAATTTGGGTTGGGAAGCTCCGTAGGTACTGCAAAGCCCCAGTTGACTCCTCCATCAACTGATTCTGACATGCAAACCTTGCCTATTGTTTCAAATGATCTCAGTAACATACGCAAAGTTCCCTTTCCCGTCAGATATGGAACCGGTTGAATCACACCAAGAGTTTCATTTTCAATTTGTATCGGTCCGTACTTGTGCCACGAGTGGCCAGCATCTCCAGTAACCTAAGTAGAAACCACACCTGAACCTTCATGCTCTGGCTTGTAAGCTGACTAACCGTTTATAACAAATTATTATTTTTTACCTCCATCCATGCTCCCCAAGAGTTCCAGCTCTCCACCGAAGATCCACAAAGCAATCGACCATCATCGAGCAACAAAGGCTATGACACAAAATCCTACTACGATTAAAACCTCTGTAGCTTCTTCTCTGAAATGAATCATCAGTCCACATACCTTGTTCTTGATGGGGCCAAGAATCCCCGGAGGTAGCTGCTCTCTCTCCGACCAAGTTACACCACCGTCTGCCGATCTCTTCATGGCCCCGCTCCATCTGAGATGGATGTTATCGTTTTCCATAAGAGGCACTCTGATATCGCATCGAAAGAAATGCCCAGATCAAAGAAGAAGAAGAAGAAGAAGAAGAAGAAAGTTTACTTTTGAACTTCCTGCCCAATCTTGTAGAAGAGGAGCAACTCCTCAGAAGGAAGCTTGAACAGAACAGGGTTCCACATGGGCACATCAGGCTCTTCATCGGCGACGACCGGAGGCCGCCACCATCCGTCGCTGTACCTTTGCAGCCAGATTTTAACATCAGGGGCGCCTTCCATCGACCCCCCAAAGTAAGCTACCAAGAATTTACCATTGCCGACCTAGCGCAAGCAGTTAGAAAAAAGAAGGGGAAAAAAAACACACCATCATCAACAATCTGCATTGTAATGAGAATTGCAGTCACTCATGCTCGACTTTACCCCTCACCTCGACGATGGTCGAAGCGTGGCAGCTATTAAAAGGGACAGAGCCAGCAGGGAAAGTGAACTCCTCCTTCGCTGTCTTCCAGTTGCTGAGAACGCTGTCATTAGTTCCCGGGGTCCTCATCCTCGTTGTTGTTCCTGCGCCTTCTCCCATCCTGCGCCTTCTTAATTTTTTCAATCCTATCAATGACACAGACGTATATCGCAGGGGGAAAAAATAATAAGAACCAAGAAACTCTAGAATCTCACTTGTGATGAAAAAGGAGGTGGCGAGCGTTGAGGAGGAAATCGTCGCGAACGAGGTCAGAGGAGACGAAGAGTAGTAGAGACAACAGGCTAGCGGAGAGAGCAGCTGTGGACGCCTGCTGCCAGCGGTTTGAGCTCATTTTTTTTAATGGAATAAAAATTGGGTTTTTGGGTTTAGATTGAGATGGGGATTGAAGAAAGACGAGAGAAGGGTCAGCAGGGGATTAATTAGGATTTTTTTTTTTTTTGGGTTTTTTTTTTGGGTGGGGGGGGGGGATTTGATTCTTGGTACCTACTGACCCTCGTGTGTTTTCGGTGCAGGGGTTGAGTGGGCCGTTATGACAGGGGGGGTTAAAAAGAGGAGGGAAACAATGATACAGGGGAAAGTCTAAGCGACTGTTTGACACTCGCCCAAAAATAACTCTTGAGGAGCAGTTGGGGGTGTCGTCGTCGCTTTAAAGCGGACTGCCCACAGGACTCCTCGCAATAAAGAGGATGAAGGAAAGGGGGCGTCCACTGGCGAGCTTGAAGCAAAGAATATAATTTGTTTCTGCGTAAATTTTACTAAATACTCAGTAACTTTGGAAGTTCCAAAAATCTCCGGAATATTTTGATCTTTTTTTTTATTTTCACTTATCCCTGCATCAACTAATAAGAGTTTTACTACAGAGACCCAAAATATGAAACCAATAAGAAGAACAAGTAAGGTGTCCCTCTCCTATTGGATAATGAGTTGGTCATCATTAATGATGGCCAATTCATTATCCAATAGGAGGGGGACACCTTACTTGTCACACTTATCGGTCCCATATTTTGGATCCCTGTAGCAAAGCTCTCAAATAAATATCATAAAGTAGTCATTGCGTTAAGTGAAAAAAAAATCAAAATGTTTTGAGAGATTCTCTTCAATTAGGGGTGGAAATGAACCAAATAGTTAGCAAATGGTTTGATAATTGTCTGAATAACTATTTGGTCATATTCGATTCTGTAGTTCATTTACCATTAAACAAATATTTTTTAGTATTAAAGTTTACTAACGAATAGAATTTAAACAGATGTATATGCGATTCGTTTGTTTATTAAATATTTGTTTAAAATTTGATCACATCTTATTGTTTGTATTATTTCACATATGATGTCATATTTTTAACCCACTTACTATTCCTACTTAAGTTTTATATACTGATTTTAAGACTTAAATAATCTTAAATATGTCTTCTAATTAAAACCTTGATTTAAATATATATACATCATATATTATAAAGGAATAATTTTTATTTATGAATTTTAATATTATTTGAAAATTAAATTCTTTAGCGGAATAAATATACTTTGATATTCGATAAGTATTCGTGAATATTCACGAATATTTATCAAATACCAAGTATTCGAGTGCGAATTCGAAAAACTAGATATGTTAATATTAGAGTCCGCATTCGAATTTGATAATTTTAAATAAATATAAATATGAACACTTTAATATTCGATTCGATTCGACTCCATCGTTTACCACCACTATCTTCAGCTCTAGAACTTATTACTGGTTGACTGAGAGATTCGGATTTCTTTTTTACGGTCAGAGCGTCAGGGGCCCAAACACACTCAGTTTAGTAAAGTTTTCCCTTTTTTTAAGGATTTCTTAATTAATTAACTAATTAATTAATAGGGGCATTCGGTAGGTACAATAGGACCAGGTACCAAACCCGAAGGTGTGTTTACTCTGGGAACAGGAACCCATAGTACATGTGGATAAGATCGATAAACAACTCTAATATTATGCTTCTCTTTAAACAAGCTTTGGGCCTATGGCGTACTATCTGATTAAGATCGACCGGTACCCGCTACGCCCTCCAATATTTAAGGCTGAATATCAGAAAAAACCCTCTTTAACTTTGGAGAATAATCAGATAACTCCTCATAATGTTTAAAATATCAGAAAACCACGCTTGAATATAGAGATTAGCTGAAAACCCCGTTTAATTTTGAGATTTTAATAAAAAATCCTTTTTAACTTTGAGATTCTATCAAAACCCACACACCCCTATGTTGGAAATACGTGCTAATTACATGCAAAATACTCAACGGAAGACTGTGTGTATAATAATACTAAACATGTAGAGAGCATGAAATACAAGCTAGGACCGTTCTAATTAAATCTAACATGATCCCTATAATAAAGAGAGCAACCAAGAGCTTTGAAGGCTTACTTTCGTAACATGATCCCTATAATAAAGAGAGCAACCAAGAGCTTTGAAGGCTTACTTTCGTAGCGTGATTCGATGGTAGATCGGAGCAACCAAGAGCTTTGAAGGCTTACTTTCGTAGCGTGATTCGATGGTAGATCGAACAACCCCTAGTTCGTTCTCCTTGTTGTTGTAAACCTCTTTGTAATGGATCTCCAAGTATTCAAGTGAGCTTGATAAAATCAGAGTCTTCTTGAGACACAATACAAGATATTCACCCCGGGTACTATAATATCCTACTACTTCCTCTTACTCAAAGATTGTTAGAGTTTAGTAAGAGGTTGAGCTTTCTTTTATTCTCTTATGGAAAAAACCACTTAACCAATTTTTCATTAACTTTTCCATAAGAGAGAGAGCTCGTATATATAGAGTGAGATATGTCATGACTCATCTCATGAGTCATCTAAATGTAATAATTCCTTTCATGAGTTATGCAATGACTCATCTCATGAGTCATGCAAAGAGTCATGAAGAATCAAAACTATGTACTAAAACCATGTTCCCAAACCATACCATCTTAATGACTCATCTCATGACTCATTAATCAATGTATAATGAAGTGTGTATTTCATAAATGAAAACACCACATCAATACGGTGTTTCATAAATACATTATTGCATAATTTTCTAATCATTAACTAATAAGTTATCATATGACCAAAAAAATCAATGAGTTGACCAAAAGTCAACTGTTAACCAAAAAATCAATCAGTTGACTAAAAGTTAATTTTATAGAAAAAATACTGGAATTCATTTCTTAAGAACATAGCATTCTGATTTTACCGATACATATAACTGTTTATGTGTATCCGGTAAAAATCATATATGCGTATCAATCATACGCATTTAACTCTATAAATTATATTTTATAGGATTCAAGTACGCGCTTGGTGTGACTCTAGGGCCCAACTTAAGACTCGGTAGTGGATCATATCCACAAGTACAACAGAGATGTAGCTACACATGAAGATACTCGGGTATAAGTTGTGATAAATGTCTGCAAGATGCTTACACAATTTTATGAGGACCACTTAGTGATAACACTGTACAGTCCGGTCTCTTCGTCAAACAATATCAAACTATCGAGCCTAGGATATGGTAAACTGTCAAACCCTAATAGCTTGATTAGTGTTTGTTGATATTAAACTCATAACATTTAAGATCAAACTGACACTCAGTTTATCTTATTTATCTTGGCCAATGATTTCCAGGCTATAGTTATATCAAACAATCTTATGACATCAACCCCTTATACTGGGAGAGACGAATCTTATCTTGGCATCTCAATATCTACTTATGTCTCGGGATGTACCCAACAAGAACCGCTATACACAACTCAATAAGAATTGTGGTTAGGTAAAAGTCTAAATACACCTATACTGACATGTAAGATATTGCACTCATGCCTCAAGTCAAGAGACTACTTTGTACTATATCACTTGAGAACTTCTATTTAACACTTAAGTATAATTACCAACTAGACATTCTCGGTGAGTCGTTCAGTCAATTCATTCACTAATGAGTCACATGTATACTATATCTTGATGTCTCGGTATCAATGATCTAAGAGATGGATCATCGTCCTTCTAAAAGACAAATAGAGTATACACTAGTCTTTCCCAAAGTGATGATGTCATATCTCCTCACTTCATCGATTAGGAACATTTTAGAATATACGTTAGTGACTAATCAGCTCTCTTCTTCATTACGATCACTATCGAAATTCCTATAGCCTAGTATCATTTTAAGGTCTTTATCCGTATTTAAAAAATACCAGATAAATACTGACCAAAATAGCATACTATCAGTTTAAACAAAGATGTTATATTCATATAGGTCCTGTTACAATATATAATTATTACCTGCAGGGTACCTATATCTAACACCCTATCCCTAAAAGCGTCAGTTTTAGGGGAGTTTTTAGATAAAACAAAATGAAAGGGGATTTGTGATAACCCCTAAACTTAAGGGTGATTTTATAATATTTTCCTAGTTAACAGGGGTTATACGATAAAAGTCTTTTTGTTTTTGAGGGGGATATTTAGTTGTTAGTTGTATAACTTCAATCCCCATTTAGATAGGTTGTCATAGATGTATTTGTGTCAAAATGTTGTACGAATGGATCAGATAGAAAATTAGCAAATACCAGGTTTTAGATAGCAATCACGACGATATGATTGACGGTTAAAGTGAGACGCGGAGACAAGGATAGCTTACAAGGATGAAGAGCAATTCTTTCGTAACCTGCATGATGATACGACAATTAGCCAGTTCAAGCTTTAGCTCTCAACCTGTTCGTCCAACTCTTCAAGAGCTTTTCTCATACACATCACACACATATTAAGTCAGTCTAGCCAAAAGCTCTGAAGCACAAGCGTCATTATTTGCAGAGTACATGCTGCTTATTTTCTCAAGATAAACCCTCTGCACTCGCTCATGCCATTGTAAAATCCAACCCTGCTCATTATTGGCAATTCTCACAATGCGGATTCAACACGAGCTGCTAGTGCAGCAAGCTTCCCTTTCACACACAGCATTCTCATTCATACAGCAAGGCGTGACAGCTCAA